TTTAAAGTGCACAGTTGCACAGAATATGGAAAGACGTGTAAAATGGCACCACTTAATGTGTAACCACAATCACTAAGATTCAGTTATTTTAGTTGCATTCTCAAAACTGTGAATTTGCATAAAAATTTCCGATTAGACACAATAACAGCGCGTGTCTTTTTTCAATGTTTTCATCTAGTTTCAAAGACGGTAGATGTTTCATAACTGTGTTATATTAAATTACATCTTCAAAGGGATAAAAGGTAAATCGAACGCGGTAATATTTTTATAGAAATCGCGAGAATCAAACGCCACTTCGTTCCAATGTAAATTTCATTTATAGAAATACGACGCAGGTATTATACATATAAGTGCAATAAATTTAATATTTTTGTTAACTACAGTAAGTAACTTTCCTCAGGTGAAAAAGGATTTCGCTTCTTTTACAAATACCTAAAATACATATTGGTAGGTTTATTCCATGATCGAATATTCTGTCACTTGTTGCATGTATTAAAAACAAGAAAAAATGGTTGAGAAAAGGAAACATATGTTCATACGCAAATTCAATAATAAACGAATGAGCAGATAAGACTCTAAAGATTTCGTTTGGTTACTAAGGAGAGAGACACCGCTACGAGAAATCAATTACAAATTGAATTATTGGGGGAAAAGAAATCTTAGATTTTATACGTATTATAGGTGTGTATATTATCTCAGGTATAGGTATTACACTTAAAAAGAAATTTTATCGTTTTATTTAACTGATTTAACTATAATTGTAGGAAGTGTAAATAAAAATAACCGCAATAGGATTTATTGGCACCGAGTTTGGTGAAGATGAACGTCAAGTATACCAAACAACGGAGAATGACACTAGTACAACATCAGGAATTACTGAATGATAAGAGTGCGTCTGTTGCTATAGTAATGTAGCAGCGACTTGGGACTAGCAAGAGTGGTAGTAAGAGTAGTTGGATTAGGATTTGCTGTGTCATAGGGGTATGTTTGTTGTTGATACATATTGCTGACGCATTGTACTCCGATTGAGGGTAATCACGTGGAACTGATGTTGATGTTGACGAATCAATGTGCACGGCACAGTTAAATTATTTGTTTCTGTTCGAAATAAAATTTTATTGAATTTTTCCGGCTACGAGCGTATTTATTGTTTAAGCAAATGACATAATTGTTTCGTTAAAACTCATCGTCGTATTTCTGCTGGAAATATTGAAATTACTTTTATTCCCTGGACGTTTGAAATAATTGTTTACCTTTATGTAGTGATATTTCGTTTATTGAGACTACTTTTGGTCTGACACTCATTTTTTTTTCTTTTTTTGTAGTTTTGAATTTTTAACTTTGGTTTTTATTGATTGAACTTGATTTTCGAATCAGACGAACTAACGTTTCAAACATTTGAGGTTCGTAATTTTGATTCTTCGAAACTGAAGATTTATTAAATTTTAAATGTGTGTTATTGGTGTGTAATTGGTAGGTGAATTAAAACTCTGCATTGTACAATAGTGTAAAAATATTACTTCAGCATCTAGATACATTTAGTTTAAATCTTTGCAGTAAAACTTTAAAGTCCAACTATAAAGTCTGAAGCATTTGGCTTGAAATAATTTTTCATCTTTCCTTTGAAAAAATATCAGAGAAAATCTCTCTCCTATAATGTGCCATATCTATATCATTAGTAGGGGATTTCTATAACAGTCAGGTCTTCACGAACGAATGGAAGATTTAAAAATGGATAAAAATCGTTAGGAATAATATTAATTTAAGGCACCACGATTGATGCACTATGCCACAGAGCCACGAAACCACATAGCATTCAACCTGAAATGGGGGGCAGTTACAATACAGTTTCAATAATAAAATCATCGAAATTTTCACAACGAATAGAGTAATGAATTCTCGCTAATGGAAATCATTTACATTCCATGCTGACTATTGCCGCAGAATTCTGCGGAAAGTTTTTGTATTTTTCGATGAAATGTACTATAGCCACCTGTTTAATCAAGTAACGAATATTCTCTTTCTATTACATGACGCGTGTGTTCTCAGATATTTAAGTAACCTCTTAAAGGATCATTCAATTTTATTACTTTATCGTACATTCATTAATCTCCCGTAAAACGATACAAAAAGCTATTTTCTCAGAAAAGTTTCTATTTTTATATTTATGGGTAAGGGGTAAATTTCATTAACATAAAATTTACATAGGAAATAAATAAATATTCATGCAACGTTCAAAACAGTGTCCGTGTGGAGGAACAAAAAGAAGCAATACAAAAAGAAAAAAAGTTCAACATTATGAATAGTTCACATTATGAATATTTATTCGCGAAGAGAATGCATAATGAAAGATCTCCCTGACGTTGCGCTGGCGTAGAATCGCGAGGCATTAAATCGATTCTTGATTTTTCTTGAAATTCACCCAGAAGTTCTAATAACTTTTTTTACTTATAAACTAGGAGTTCTTCTATTTTTATGTCTCGTTTCGTGACTTTTGCATTTTGTATTCTGCGCCTTACCTTTCTTTTACCTAACACGTTCTTCTCTCGTCGTTTTGTGAATGCCCCTTTCGAACCTGCTAACACATTTGAAATTTTTATGCTGATGATCTTATTGTATCAGTTCCACATATTTCTCGGGCGTTGAATGCACAATCCTCTGCTTGTTCAAGCCTTTAACTTACAACGAAGGTGTTTCCTACTGACCATTCTCGCCTCTGTTTTCTTCTTATTTCCCTCTTTGTTCTGCGCACTGTCGCAAAATGGTCTCTGTCACATTTATCGTACTCTTCTTTTTTTTTTTCCACCAGACATTTCAACGCCTCCTATTCGCCTATGTTCTTCATATCCGCCTCTGAAACTTGATGCTTTATCTACTTGCATTTTCGTTCACTGTACGTTTCAAAGTCGAAGTCTTTTGTCTTTATTTTCTCGAAACCTAAGGCGTTCAAAACGGGAAACACGAACGTGCTTTGGCCAGTGAAAAATCGCATACTTTTGGAAAGTCCTGCCTTAAAACATTCGAATAAACATACCTGAAAGCAGTAAGCATTTCTAGTTAAAATGTTTGAATTCCCATCTCTAATCAGAGATATTTTTCTTTCTCCTTTTTCTTTTTTTTTTTT